TATAAATATATATATATATATATATATATATATATATATCAATAGAAGAATTTAAGTATTGTTTTAACAGCAATAACAATTATAAAACCGTCTTCTTTTCTCTTTTTCTTAGATGCGAAGCTGTCAACCACTCTTCAACTCAGTTGGAGCGTATGCCAGGACCGGCTCCACATTTAAGCTCCATATTACGTGATGATGGAGGTGAAAATGATGCTTACAGACTAAGATATTCAAGCATGGATCCCGATGCTCATATTGGACCTTTTGCCTTAGCGCAGTTTAAAAATAACGAGAGGACATACGTTTTAGAAAACGTTACTCTTCCTCAATGGACAAAAAATTGATTTTAGTAATTTGTGAATCGATATTTGGATATAAATTAAAATATTGGCTGGATACCCGCCAATATTATGCAAAGTTCTATATTGTATTCGATTCTCGTCAACAATATGATCTCTAAGTTATTGGAACTCAGAAGTGTGATTTTTCTCGAGTGATGCGTATCACTCTGACTGTGATAAATACATAATTGTTGAAAATGTATCATTAACCAGTTATGACATCTGGTTAAAATTTTATTTTGCTATGAAACAAATGTTGAGCATTGGACTTAGGGATGACACCAACAAAGTTAAATTGTTCCTGATTGAATAATGGAGTTCGTTAAAGTAAAACTGGTGCCTTACTATATAGCTTTCAAGCTAAGTCAAAGAAAGCAAATGTCTCAATGAAAATTATGTTTTAAGACATAGTATTTTTCAAAGGATTTATTGTGATAGTTGGGCTTACAATGATATAATTACGAAATTCAAAGTGAGTTAAAATGAATAAATCTGTTGTTTAGTGTTTCGACACTATATTGAGATTAAAAAAAGAAAATTATTAAAATGAAACAACAGTATGTTAAACAAAACTTTTTGTCTTTAAATTTCTCGTTAAAAATTCATTTGATTACAAAAATTAACAGGTTCATCGAAGTTAATTCGCGTATCAAGGAAAAGCTAATAATTATATTTATTGTGATTATGAATAAAGTTCCTATATATTGCATAAACATTACCCTTATCAGTATTGTTCAAAATTATTTAACTTAAATCGTAAAAATTCTCGGTAACGGTAAAATGTTCCAGTTGCAATTTTTTTTCTATAAATTGTTATCGTAATCAGAAAAAATTTAGTGAATTTGTGATTATTATTCAATACTTTTTTTAATAAAGCAATTTACTAAATATCTTTGCCAATTATAAGAAGTCTAGAAACTATTTTAGTTTAATAATGAATACAAGTGCAACAGAATCAGGAGTTTACAATAAAGACTCATTATTGTTTTATATTACTATACTTAAAACAAAATTAATTTTTGGAAATTCATACCAATAAGTACATATTACGAAAAATACAAAATGTAAAACAACCATTTTCATGATTTACACTCACAATAAAATGCATTATGAAAAGTAGAAAAAATACGCTATTTAAAATATTCCACGCCTTTAAAACTATCCTAACTTCAAATAACGCAGATGAATTATTTCAATGAGGCTACATTTCGCAACGCAGTTAAAATCAAATATTACGAAATAAGTTTTTTTTAATATAATAAGTTTTTTTTATAATAAGTTTTTTTTTAAAATTGTGATTGTCAGAAAAACTAAAAAGGGCTCATAGCATTAAGAATTTTAAATACGTTTGGTAAACCATTTTTAAAACAAGAGTTGACGGAACAGTTTTAGAATTTATTTTTTAAAATACTTCATGATAAGGATTATTTTGGCTAATAAGTCATGAGTAGAATTAAGTGTTTACAAACCATTTGAAGTTTTAAAGGCTATTTGGATCAAGCTTTAAAGGCTATTTGGAAGCTATTTGGGAAATGAATATTTAATTTGCTCCAACTATTTGATTTTCTTTCTTTGTTTTATTTACTGAGCTTCCTATCTATTTCGTGTTGTGACGAGTGTATAATTATTTGACTTGAACTAGTGTAGATACTAAGCAGAAAATACACAATTTCAGTGCTATTTTAAACGAATTTGTTTTAGATACTTTAGGATTGTAATTAGAACCCGAATTTTTCGAATTTATTCTAAGTGTTTTTTCATACTTTCTAAGTATTTAAGTTACTAAATACAATTTTGATGGATTTTACTTCTGATTTTTGCCCCGTAAAGAATTTTTAGTCACATTTAAAAAATCTATTTTAACACTTTTTAATAATTATAATGCTTTTTAAAACATGTTTTATTCACTTTTTTAAATATAAAATTTTTCAAGAGTCTTTTTTTTCATTTAATGATGTTATTTTAATAAAATATTTAATACTAATTAAACATTTAATATTAAATATTTATTAATAATAAATTCTTAATAAAATATTTAGTTTGATAAATTTTGTTTTCTTTAAAATATTCAAATTTAAGCTTAATTTTACAATATAAATTGTTGCGCCGTTTATTACAATAGCTTTGAAAATAGTACCTTGGGCTATGTGATGATGATATCTTATTATGTTTTTTTTTAAATAAATATTAGCATTCTTTTCGTTTTCTTAATTTGTTATGCTTTGGTGATATGGATAATATGGCACGTAAAATATTTTAGATACATAAAAATGTACAATTAAAGTTATTTTTTCAATTTTGCAAATATTTTGTGTATAACTATACTTTTAATTGTTTGTAATTTATTTCATTTTTTAATGAGAATAATAATTCGTTATTACATTAGCAATTTTATCACTTAATTTACTCAGCTTATTATTGTGTAATTTATACTATTAATATAATTTAGACACTCTATGCAATTAATTTTACATTTTAAATATTTATATTAAAATATTTAATTTTTTGTTCACCAAAAATAATTACTGTATTTCTTTTGTCAAATTTTATGAAGTAATCGTCCTATTTCATTAAATATTTTTTCTTAACAATGTAAATCTAATTTTTATTGCATAAGTTGTATCGAACAAAAAATAATTAAACGACCAAATAAACTGGATATTTAAACTTAGGATTTATCAGTATTATGTACAGTTAATAGCCAGAAAATTACACATAAATTGAAACTACTACTTTTTACGATGAATAATTCTTTTTAAATTGTTATTTCATACCATATACCTTTAGTTGTGTACTAAAAAGTTTCTTATTTTTGTATAAATGACTAGATAAGCATTGAGGACAATGTATATTGTAATTGTAAAATATCCGTCCAGGCTTAGTTTTGTCATAATTTTTTTTTTATTGAGAAATAAATGTGTACATATCTATCTAAATTATGAAAAACATTTTATCCATTTGATTCTATATTTTAAGATATTATTTTTTAAGAGAAATTGTCTTATAAGTTTAGATCATCAATGAATTTACCAAAAGAGTTACTTGTAAATTGTACAAATTTGAGAGAAATTAAAGCTTTTACTTTGTGAAAAGCTGTTATTGTTTATTTCAGCTTTGATTAGTTAAAATGATATTCTTAAAGCTGTATTAAGTAAATTAGTGCATATTGATTTATATTCTTAGTGATAAGAGAGGGTAGATAAAATTTTACATAGCACTATACTTGCATAAATATTGGTTAAAGTTTAACCATATTAACGGTGCTTTAAACCAATGTATATTGGCTATAACTCTACTCCGCTAGAAATTTTGGATCGTGTTGAATGATAATATTGGTAGAATTTTCTGCAACCTTAATATGGTGCTTAGTTTAACCTTTTAATCGTAATCCCTATATTAGATTACACAACACGTGTTAAATTAAACAGAGACAGGGTTTAATTTAATATCTTTTAAAGTTTACAGCAAATTTGTATCTTATTATGGTTCAAGGTACCGATAATATTGATTCTTTTTTTAACTGATTTTTCTGACAGATTATTAAGATGTTAAATTGAACCATATTTCCATCGCAGATGAATTATTGCACCATGTAATCTTGTGTAAAGATGATAGAATTATTTTAAAGTTTTAACTAGTTCTACTTTCTCATAAAAATTGGTTCAGATTTAAATATTAACAGGGATATTTCAAAACACAATAACGTGTAAATTTACTATAATTTTAAGATGGTGTGTAAACCATGTCTCCATACACGTTGAAACATTGTATCCTGTTATTAATGATAATTAAATTGCATTGAACTATGCTTCAATTTAACTACTTACTATGTCGTGATGGCTTATTGGTTAAGACACTGAACTACCATTGTTAAGGACTGGGGTTCGGTCCCCATTGACTGCTTGAAGTCCACCTAGCTTCAGATCGATGGGTACCAGCCTGTTAAAAGTAAGGGTGACCTGTGAGAGATGATAACCATATTACCGTAATAATATCGTTTTTCATTAAATTGTGGTACCTTACCCTCCAGGTACACACCGGGCTTTTGTGGAAATACTTTACTTAATAAAAGTCAATGAATACAAATATTTTATGCTATTATGTTTCAATCTGCATAATTGTTTTAACAGTACAAGTTTATATTTATTAAAAAAAATAACAGGACAATGTTGAATAGTAAATAATTTCAATAATTGAGCGATGAATGATTTTAAGATTAGTTTAGTGAAAGAAATGCCTTATTAAAATATTACGTCCAACTGGTAAGTGCAGAAGAATTAGGCCATCTAACTTTTACACGTTATTAAATTACCCTGAACTGTGCGCAAAATAAAAACGTATCACCCTAAATAACTTTTGATCTAAGGATCGCATCTTCGCGCTCTAGGACTCATTTTTAATGGTTTGAGGGAGTGACCACAAATATGCTAATAAATTAGAGCAGACGATATTTTAAGTTACGAAATTAAACAAACGTACTTCCTCTGAATAAACACACTTTTTATTGACGGATTCGATTTTCTGACCCCCAAAATATAAGTTGTAGCCACAATCTGGGAAATATGGTCCCAATAGTTTGGTCAGGAGAGCTGTCCGAAGTTTGGACCCCTTAATGTAAATTTTACTTTTTGCGTATTTCGCTATATCTCGAGAACTTTTTAAGCGAATTAAAAAATTCTTGTACACAAGTGTAAAATTCATTTATCCAAAGATAATTCCTTGCAGAAAATAAATTTCTAGTAAATATTTATTATTTTATATTATTTTATTTAATATTAGAAGAAAAATTTTTGAATTGCAAAGTATGCAATTTTTCATATAATTTTAAAGAATATAATTATTCACGGCAAAATACAAAAATTTGAGTGAAATCGTTCGAATTAGTTTATGGGAAATCAAATTTCAAAAAAGTTGTATTTGAAAAATTCGATTTCTCAGGAGCTATTTGATTGATTTCACTCAAATTTTGAATTTTACGACGTGAAATTACTTTATTTAAAGTGATGTAAAAAATTTCGTACTTTACTATTTAAAATTTTTTCGACTAATAAGAATAATGAAAAATTATAAATATTTATTTAAAGTTAATTTTGCATGGAATTATCTCTTAACAATTGCGTGGAAAAAGCTTTTATGTCTCTTAAAAATGTTTCGAGATATGGTGAAGTACGCAAAAAGTAAAGTTAACATTATGGGGTCCAATTTTTGAACCACTCTCCTGCCCAAACTATTGGGACCATACATCTTGGATTGCGACTACCTCTATATTTTGAGGATCAGAAATCCGAATCCGTCAAAAAGAAAAAGAAGGTATGCTTATTCAGAAAAAGTACATTTTTGTGTTTGATTTCGTAACTTAAGATATTGACTGCACTAATTAATTAGCGTATTTGAGGCCACCCCCTTAAAACCATTAAGATTGAGTCCTAGAACGTGAAGATCTGATCATTAGATCTATTCGGATTTGGTGTTGAAAAACTACAAGAATTGAGTGAATGGAAAACTACCGTACCTTTTGGTGTTCCCAATGAGCCATAACGCATGGTAAACTTCAACATTTTCGCTTTTACTCAGTGTGTATTAAAATTAATTTAATTTAAAAAGAAAAGTAATTCTGGATGGGCACTCTTCTTGGTCTGAGGTCTCTACTAAACATAAGCTAATTAATTTAGGCAGACAAATATTTAATTCACGAAATCATATGCAAATATGTATTTTTTTCTGAATCTGTTGAAACAATAAACGTGTTTATACCTTTTCTTTTAGAAAAAATTTTGATTTCTTACACCTACTATTATAAAAAAACTTTCTATTTAGACGAAGCTGTAATCTGGGAAGTTAAGTTCAAATAGTTTTTCAAAACAAGACAAACTGTCTGAAACTAAAACCGCGAATCAAAAAATCTTTTCTTTCTATTTCTAAAAAACTATGTTCCTATACACAAAAAAAATCAAATTTTTTTTTAAAGATTTCTGTTCAATAATGCTCAAAAAATTTATATTGGAATATTCAAAAATAGCATATCGAGTACACCCTCTTAAATTATGTAAATTTTAACGTTCAAAATCTAAAATGTGAACGAAATCAGTTAAAGAGACTCTGAAAATTAAAAATAAATTAAAAAATTTTTGAAATTATCAAACGATTTTGTTGTTATTTAAATTTGCATAGTTAACACTAGACTGCTCAAGGAAGTAATTTTTACTGTCTTTTAATTTCAATTAGAAAAACAATGATGACACGATTTCTTTGAATTTTGTGACTTTTATAATTGTTTTTAGAGTTGATATTTACTAATAACTTGTTATATAACTGAAAATAATATCAAAAATATTAAAAATTAATTTTGAACAATTTTTTTATACATTAGTTATTCTTTCACAATGCAGTCATTTTGACTACTTTTGGGCAATATTTTAGTCTTTCTAGTGTTAAAGAAGATGTAGCAGTTTCAAATAACCTATTTGGAATTAGACAAAGCATTTTTCCATATTATTTCCTTGCCTTAAAATTTATTAGCACTCAAAATTTCAGCATGACTGGCTAGTGATATGGTCGGTAGTTTTCTTTTTAGTTCGCAAAAATTCAAATATTAAATCAAAAGTAATTCAGGTTGTTAAGTTTTTTTAATTTTACACACTAAAATGGTTTTGAAGCAAAATGCATGAAATTACAAGCATTGCCATATTCACTGAATGTATTTAATAAATATTTCCTCGCACAGAATTGTTTTATTTTTTTAATTTATGAGAATAAGGAAAGTCCCCAATGAAGAACTTTAGGGTGCTCAGAATACTTTTGTAATATTTTTCTTCACATTGTAAGCTAGGTAAATAGCAGCGTGGACTACTTTATAGCTATGACTTACAGTGAATCAGCAATGGTGTGATCGGTAAAGTCAGATTTTTCAATTTGGAAGTTCTTCTGGAAGTGGTTCTTTTCCAATGAAGAGTACAAA